TAGTTAGTAAATTATAGTTAGTAAATTATAGTTAGTAAATTATAGTTAGTAAATTATAGTTAGTAAATTATAGTTAGGTTAAGACAGGTTAAGACAATCTACTACGTACGTATTCGACCAAATGCGACCAAATGAATTCTTACGTAGTAAAATGTGACTGTGTGAAATGTTAAGAATATGTGACATGATATCATAAATATTTCCAAGTTAAATACCAGGTAACATGATTTGCATAAGTAAACATGCATTTTATCACTTGTTCATTTCAAACACCGAAAAGTTCGGAGCCTAAACCGCAATCAATTAAATATAGTATACACATGAAAAACATTTGTTATTCAAATAAAAGTAAATAAATAAATAAAGGTGTCACCAAACATTTGCACATTAGCCTCAGAGTCAGGGATTAGCAAATAGGTTCTTTTAGTTTTATCTTTATCGTTATATGAAATATATATAAGTCGATATTTTTAATTTAATCTATTGCAAATCTTCTGTCCAACATCCTCTCATTCATTGTGTATCAAACAATAAACAAAAATTTTCAAGAAAAAACCGCATCATTTCTTTTTTTCGTTCGCTTTGTCACTCCTGCAAGGATGTCGATGAACTAACCCATAAGTTGATGATTCGAATGATCGATTCATTCTACCGGTTAATTAAAGAATATTTGATTCGGTAATTGCTAAATTCCCTGATATATTGTTACAAAGGAATCATCTGATAGATCAGTGATAGATGAATAGGTAAAAGTCCGATTATATTGTATTATTGTAAATTTCGCGGGTTGATCATAATAGTTCATAGTTGGTATATTATAGTCTTATAGTTGTTAGTCTTACAGTTGTTAGTCTTACAGTTGTTAAACTTTTTATATACAATGGAACTAATGGAACTTTAGTAGATGTAGTACTATTGTCTACTTTTCTACTTTTCTGTTTGTATACTTTGCTTTCTACTTGTATACTTTTCTACTTTCTACTTGTATACTTTTCTACTTGTCTACTTATCTACTAGTTTATAAATAGAGCATTTATCAACTACTCTTGATTATTTAATATTTATTAATAATATTTATATGTGTATATTCTCTAACTAATCAATTAATCGCTTGTTGAATGAACAAAAAGGTAACATTGAAGGAAAAAAAAAAAAAAGGCTGCGTCCTTAAAGTTTTATGTTAAAATACAAGATTTTATATTACACAAATATATTTTGTCATTTTACTTTACGATAAAATACATATCTCAATGATATGGTCATATCTGATATATATAATCCGTATTTGGATCAGTATTTGGATCTCTGTGAAACTAGATATATGCCCACACATCTTGACGCACTTATGCAAGCTTAGTGGCGGTGACACTCACACCGAGTCCTGATCGTAGCCAACCTTTTTTTCTTGTCTTATTAATATCTGTTTTGATAAACCTTTTTTTTTTTCCTTACCCCTTACTCCACTGACTCAAATATCGAAACTTTACAAAAAATCCCTTTCTTATTTTAACTTCTCTATCTTCTTTAATAGAGTTACGCCTCGCTTTTTGACTTTTCGTTTTCAACTCCCTCTATTCTTTTACTGTCCTTTAGACGCTATCAATAATGTCGTCTAACGGCCAAACACAAGCTTGCTTTCAGAAGCTTAATCGAATAAATGAAGACACATGGTTGCAGATGGGTAGGATTTGATTTCTTATTTCCTCACACGGGATATAGTCGAACTTTGCTATTTTTTAAACTTTGTAATAGAATTAAAAATTTACCCGCTATGACTTTTGCGATAAATAAGCTTCTCGTTCAAGGGTTTGCATTGCTCTTCATGTTTGTCCATGCATCTACCTAAAACGAATAGACCTTTCGTTTTTTTTCGCGTACAACCTTATACACAATAAAATAGTTCAATACCTTTAATCCTGTTTAATTTTTTTCTTCAAAGTCGTGTTTTGTAATTTCACTAAAGGAATTCTCGTTTTCAGGTTCCGCGGCCGAGTTAATGCAAGAATATGATCGGGCAATGAATGCTTATGAATCAGCTCTAAGACACAATTCATATTCTATTCCTGCTTTATCAAGTATCGCTGCCCTTTGTCGTGGAAGAGAACAATTTCCAAAAGTAATGTCTTTTTTATTTAATTCTTTAATTTGTTTCTGAGTACAATTATTCACTTTTATTTTATTCTTTTTTCATAGGCTGTTGAATATTTTCAAAGGATCTTGAATATTGATCAAGCAAATGGTGAAATTTGGGGTGCTTTAGGTAATTCTATACCTCTAAACCTCTTTTACTCTCTTTGTTTTCTTTACTTCACGTGTATTACCCATCTATCCTTAATTTAGTCAAATCTTAATAAACTTTTGTTCTATTTCTCTTAAACTTTTGATCATTTAATCATGTGACTATCAATTCTTATCAAATTTTCTATTATTTATAGGTCATTGTTATTTAATGATGGATGACCTTCAGAAAGCATACGGTGCTTATCAACAAGCATTATTCCATTTACCCAATCCAAAGGTGTGCTATTGAAGTCGAATCTTCGACTTTTCATCTATTTATCATCTACATAACCTTTTACTCGATGTTTTTACCTTCTCAAAGGAACCTAAGCTTTGGTACGGAATCGGTATATTATACGATCGTTATGGTTCACTGGACCATGCCGAAGAAGCTTTCTCTCAGGTTATGAGAATGGAACCTAAATTTGAAAAGGCCAATGAGATCTATTTTAGGTTGGGAATCATATATAAACAACAACAGAAGTATGACCAGAGCTTGGAAGTGAGTCTATCACTGTACATTGATTTCGTCATTTTAATTTGCTTAATTTTCTTAATTTCCTTAAATTTCTTAAATTTCTTAAATTTCGTAAATTATATACATATTTACAACAGTGCTTTAAATATATTTTACATAATCCTCCGAGACCTTTGACTGAAGTGGATATTTGGTTCCAAATTGGTCATGTATATGAGCAACAAAAGAACGTAAGCATAAATAATTATAAAATTGACTTTATTTTCATTATTCATTATATAAACTAATTATATTTTATATTCAAGTTTATGTCTGCTAAGGAAGCTTATGAACGCGTGTTAACTGATAACCCAAATCACGCTAAGGTTCTACAACAGCTTGGGTGGCTTTATCATCAACAAAGTGCAAGTTTTACTAATCAAGATCTGGCTATCACATATTTAACAAAATCACTGGAATCTGGTTAATATTACTACATTAATAATTATAATAATAATAATAATAATTATAATAATTATAATAATTATTTATTAATTTATTATTAATTTATTATTGTTCACATTTAGATGGCACTGATGCTCAATCGTGGTATCTTCTTGGGCGTTGTTATATGGCTCAACAAAAGTACAATAAAGCTTATGAAGCTTATCAACAGGCTGTGTAAGTATTATGAATTATAATTATTACTGGTATTTAATTACTATCGGTATTTAATTACTATCGGTAATTAATGAATTACCCTTAATTGATGGTTTTATAGTTATCGTGATGGTCGTAATCCCACATTTTGGTGTTCAATCGGTGTTCTTTACTATCAAATAAATCAGGTATACATTCAAAA